GATAATTTGAGGTATTTTCAAAAATTACTTCAGTTGTTTGACTACCACCACCATTGAGATTAAGAATGTTCTGTATCATGCCAAAAAAGTTCCCTATGCCCCTATAAAATGCAGATAGTATCAACAGTAAGAGACTATGAATCACCATCAGTACAAGACTGATTTTACAATATAGGGATAAGACATAATTATCTCTCTACTTTTTAGCCAATTTTGACACCCTGCCACTCATGACACCATCTATTCCTATACATTGAACTCAAAAAGCCATTCTTGGAGTTAAGTGCTTTATTAAGAAACAGGGTACAGCTTGAGATCAGCATCAGCAGGCTGCAGTGTAGGAATCAGGCTCAGAGAGCATGTAAGTAGTCTCCTTCCTTCAGGGCAGCTGTCCAGGTACTTTAAGACAGTCTCCTTTCAACTCCATCAGGGCTTGCCACCAGCCCTGCCATTGTAGTTCCTGACCTCACTGTTCTCTTCCTTGTTAAAAGCTTTTAAGCCAGTATTATAACTGTTCTAGGAAGTTGTTTGCTCTTTTTCTAGTACACTTATCTTTCTCTGATACGTCTTTCTGCTGCTGCTTGCTGCTCGTTTCCTGTGAAAAATCTCTTTGTCAATTTCAAAACCTGGCCTTCCCACCAAGGCCAGGAACTGACCTTTCTCCTCTGGTAAACCACAGACACTATTCACATGGTAGCATGGCTGGGCAGTTCATTTCATTTCATTTGGTCAATCTCTCCTGCAAAATTAATAAGCATCCACGGGGCAGGCTGCAGCCCAGGACTAGATAAGAAGTATCAAACCAAGTTGTTTCCAGTTTACTGAAGAAATGTCAGTCAATCTGGATAAAAGTAATAAATCCTTTGGGATAAAAGGTAACTAGGGCAAAGGTAGTTCCTCAGAGTTTAGAGGGGAAATCGATTTATCTGTTTTTCAAAAAAACCAAAGCAAAAGGCCATTTAAAGAGGATAACTTTACCACAGACCCTGAATATTATTAGCAATTTAATGTTACCTAGTTTGCTAGTTTATATTAGATTGATAGTCTTCAACAATAAATATGTTTTTGAAATTTTTCTTTTTGCTGTCTAGAGACATTATAGGAGCTCTGATGGCCTTGTGGTAAGAAACTGTGCTACACGTAGTTCAAATCTACCCGCTACAGGGTCTATCAGCTATGAGTTGGTTCTGACTTCACAGCACACAACAATAGTGATGTGATAAGGAGTTTTAACGTCCTTGTATTCATGGCTGTGATGCAATTTTGGAATTTTTTTTTTAAAAGAATAATACTTTAAAAGCAAACACATAGTACCATGTCATTTAGTGTCGTCTGTGGCAGCTGTCGTCTGAAGAATTTTTTTTATCCTTTTAAAATGAGATGCGCATATTTCTAAAATATCCTTTCTGCAAAGATGCTTTCAGACTTTTGTTATTTGGAAAATCATTTCAAATAATTTTTTTTGCAGGAATCTTCAGAAATTTAGTCTTTTTGCAGACATAAGTGTTCTACAACAGCAAGGGAGCTTGTCAACTACATACCTCAGCAAAGTGGACCCTGATGGCAAAAAAATAAAACAGTAAGTAATATAATAGGTTAAAAAAGGAGCTTATAATAATATTCATATTTTCTGCATCCTCTGAGAAATTGTACATCGTTATCAGAAGAGTAAATATTTTCCATAAAAAGAACATTGGTAGTGAAAATAACTGTGATATTCAGTGAGCATCATAGACTATTTCGTGTCATAAGTCTTCCAGACAAATAAAAGCACTTATTTTGAATAATTATTACCTTTAAAAATTGTTACTTTTTTGCTCACCTCCCTGGAAAATATTGCATGTCCTCAGTTTTCTCTTTCATAATGCTATAAAATGAAGATTTCTTTGGATAAGGAATACATTTCTATATATGTTTAATGTAACCATATACCTAATTTATCTTAGTCAGTGTATCTCATTGAATTTTAATTGTATTTATGATAACTTGTGAGCTGGATAGAAATCAGCTAATAAAAGAAAATCAGTCTCCAAGTAGATATATGTATACCCATGTTTATCGCGGCTTTGTTTACAATAGCAAGGAGTTGGAAACAACCTAAATGCCCATCAACAAAC